TTCTGACTTTTTCTCAGAATTCTGACTTAATCAGAATTCTGACTTTCTCAGAATTCTGAGATTAAAGTCAGAATTCTGACTTAATCTCAGAATTCTGACTTTCAAATTCTGAGATTAAAGTCAGAATTCTGACTTTAATCTCAGAATTCTGAGAATAAAGTCAGAATTCTGAGAAAAAAGTCAGAATTCTGAGATAAAGTCAGAATTCTGAGAAAAAAGTCAGAATTCTGAGAATAAAGTCAGAATTCTGAGAAAAAGTCAGAATTCTGAGATTAAAGTCAGAATTCTGAGAAAAAAGTCAGAATTCTGAGATTAAAGTCAGAATTCTGAGATTAAAGTCAGAATTCTTTTTTTTTTTTTCCAGTGGCCCTAATCCTCTTCCGTACGTTTGCGTGTGCTTGTTTTACATTAGTTTTACTGGGTCCTGGACATGCTTATTTTGTGGACTGTGTAAGAAACATTTTTATTGTTTTTTGTTTTATTAAGGGATTAGCTACAGGGGTTCATGGGGTTATTCTTTCAAGGGGTTATTTTTCCATTTGCTTTCTTGGGATTCCTTTTCTGTAATCCGAGAGTCGGAAATATCGAATAGGATAGCAAGGATAGCATAAAGTGACATTTCAAATCCAAAAAGTCAAGGGCGAAAGCCACTGTGACACCATTGTTCTGCTCTATCAGTAATCTGTATTATGTAAAAATGGTCTGTAAATACAGCATGTTTCCTAGCGGAGTTATACATATCAATGTAGTTATAAATTACAGTTTGTGAAAGTACACACTTACTTTTTTTAATAAAATTATTCAAGACATATGAGTGGACAGACAATGGAGGTCGACAGACCTGGTGATAATTGCTTCTATAGAAAGTTAGCACATGGCAGTGTCAATCTCTTGCTTTTCTTCTGAGTAGTATTTTATTTAGTTGTAATTCAAACAATAATTTGCTTCTTGAAATTAAGGAATTAATTTTTTTTTCTTTATAAATCTCAGATCCTGCCTTTACCTGCTCCCTCCTATACTGATGTGGTGTATGTGGTATTGCTGAGCTTGTATGTGGTATGTGAACTGTTATACTTTTAAAAACAAAACTGTTTTATAAGTTAAGTTTTCTTTTGTGACCCATCCCATGCCCCTGTTATTTCTTCTCCACATCTGAACCATGGTTTGCAGTTCAAGGGCCTGAGGCATGAAATTCTTTTCAGATCAGCTGTGATCAATATTTTTTGGAACTTGATAAATAACAATAAAAGCTGTAATGGCTCCATTAGCATTTTGTGTAAATGTTTGTGTTAAAATTATAGCTTTAATGAGGTCTTACTACATTAGTTTTAGTTTGTATATGTGTACATATAGTATGTATATTTACAGTACAGTATGTTGTGTTTGTTGACATATTTTCAGGTGGAAGCAGAATATGTGAGGATTACTACTGCTGCACATGTTCCAAGGCTTTTTACACAACTTGACCAATACACTGACCAGCTCATAAAAGTCTTCAAGAAAAAAGGAGGCGTTGCAGGGAAGAAAATTAGACAAACTTTGGCCCCAGCCACACAGGTGCGTTATTCTGTTGGTAGCAAAATATTATGGCTAATAAGATCATTTTCAAATTTAAACAGCTAGTGTATGGTAGCTGCACAGTGCACTTACATTTATATTAAGCAAGACAAAGTTTGGTACTCAAAACGTTGGAAAATTTAAATTACCTAAACATATGTAAAATCTGATCCCTTGATTTAGGTTAAACCAGAAGTGAATGTTTTTATGTTATGTTTTGAATGCAAAAAAGATGATGTATTAGTTTGTCTTTACCTCCATTATGGACATATATAATGTGGTGGAAACCCTGCCCAACAGGTTAACTATTCATGTCCATGTGATGATTAGTTGGTCTTGTGTACATGTCTATCTGTGCAGTGGATATGTCATTCATTTTGCGTATAATGTGAGTTTCTGTCATCCTAAAGTATATCTGTTTTCTCTTCCTGTATCTCTGCCACTCTCTACAGAAGGAAAGTATTGAAAAGGGGAGGGAGTGTGTCCTCAGGGCACTACCTTTTTACCTGAATGAAGACCCAGGCATCCTCTTCAAAGAATAATTGGTTGGTAATTTTAGTTTAGTTTTTTATCTGTATTAAACCAAATTTTGAATAACTAATGTTGTTGCATGTTGTAATGTTGTTGTTGTAATTTGCATGGAACCTGTTTAAATGTTTTGAGAAATCTTCTTGTATACCCAAACTATTTATATTTATCGTTGAATCTGTAGTCTGAAATAGTGGCGCACTGGGGTGCATGTTCCTAATATTGTGTTTACGTCATTAAAGGGTAGCTTTGGCCCTTTTTCTTTCTTTTTTTAAAAACTGGATGCCATTTTTCTATGTTTTTGTGTCTAAGCTACAGCTGTTCAGAGGGAGCTGGAACAAATTACCCTTGCTATCTTTACCATCGAAAGAGCTGATGCCAGCACTCCTCCAGCCGATGTGGGTATAACCATCTAGTGTGTCCTGCATGACCTGGAAGACCTGGCCTCTGCATGTGCACTCTTAATGGGTGGGATATATGCACTGAATCTCAGTTAACCTCAAGACTGAAAGCTAAGAGACAATCAAAAGCATTGAGATTTAAAGGATTTAATTGAGAGATGATACTGCACCAGAAATGTTGAAGGGTGGTGTGTATATTAGCGTTCAAGGCATATTGTTATGAGGTGGAAATATGTTCATTTCAGTTTGTGTTACATTGTGTGCATTGTAAAGGTAATTGCAATACATACTAAAAATAAGGGTAAGTTAGGAGGTTGATCTGATATCCCCGTGTTGGTGTTGTTCCCAGATCATCATACTAAATGTTGTTCCAGGATCAACATTGCAAGTGACCAATCAGAATGTTGTGACGTCATACTTTTGCGACTTCGGGAAAAACCGGCGTAAAACAAAAAACTGTACTTAAGCTGCGTGAAACCGCCTCTGTCCGCCGATCAACTGACCCTAACCCTAACCGTAACCCTTTAATAAACAGTAAGCAGAATTGATATTGTCCTTGCAACATTGGAATTTCATAAATGCACGAATGGCTTGGAATAGAATAACGTCACAACAATGTGATTGGTCACTTGCAATGTTGAACCTGGAACAACATTTTCATGATGGTCTGGGAACAACACCAACACGAGGATATCAGATCATCCAAGTTGGGAATGCAGGATGAATGTATATTTTGTGGACTTTTAAAGACGAACAATTGTTTCCATGTTAAAATGTTTACATCTGAAGTTTTTTGCCCAAACACTGGTAAAATAAATGTTGACAGTGGCGAGTGTTAAATGGTTACTGCTGTGCTGTTGCAAAAAAACTGAACGCTGACAAGCTGTTTTATTGTTAGACCATAATGTTGGCATGTTTTGTTAAAGTTTTATTTGGGATGGTGATGTAATTTTCTTTGATTGCTAATATCAGTGGACTATTTATTATTATTATTATTATTATTATATTATTGTTTATGTTTGTTACATTTTTTTTTTTAAATTGTGGCTGTTGAGGTGGACACTTCACTTTGCATTGTTAAAGGAAAGCACTTCATTGGCATTGTGTTACTGGACTGACCTAAGCAATCATTGCAAATAGCAACTTTGCTATCCATTTTAGACACTAAAAGAAAAAAACACTCACAGACCTTACTAGCATCACATGTGCATAACTCAAGTGTCATCTTATCAATGTGTTATGTGATCTTCAATGCGTTTTTTCTTCTATTTCTGGTAGATACAGACATTTAATTTAAAGTCTTGATGTTGCATCTGTCTACATACTGTTAATTACTAACCCTAATGAGCTGTTGTGTTTTATTTTGGACTGGGTTTACACAAATGCTCACTGAATGTGTTGGCAATAAAATAAATTTTAAAAAATAAGTTGGATGTACTTAATTCATTTGTGTGGAACCTGTTGACAAAATAGATTTATGTAAAACTAATTAATAAAGCACAAGGTGGCTGAAAATATAATATTTGAATTAATCTAACTTAAATTTAACATTTTACTGCCACAAATAAGAAATGTGTTGAAGTAACTAATCTAAACTATCTAACCTGAAAATATATCATCTATGTTCATACAACATAACTTGATTTAGTTAGTCTTAAATATGTCTTGTTAATCTTAAGTAGTTTTTTTAAATTAGATGAACTAAAGATTTTTGCTTTAAACTAACATAATTCAATTTCGTGGAACCTGTTGACAAAATTTTAATTAAAGTCAACGTTTCATTTTTTTGAGTGTAGGTTTTCTAATTGGCGGAGGAGATTTAAATATACATCTATAACCAAAGCTAGATATTTCCAATAGAAAAGCACAGAATACCAAAACATTAATTAAGAATATAAATACATTGATGAAGGAGGTGGGACTAATTGATATATGGAGAAACTTGCATTATACCTATTTTTCCTCACCGCACTTGTTATACACAAGAATAAATTTTTTATTACCTTTGGGGAAAATAAAGATAGAATAAACACTTGTGAAATTGGAGCAATAGACTTAAGCGACCATGCACCAGTATACCTGTCCATTGATTTAAACCTGCAACCAAAACTCAATAATTGGAAATTAAATTCAAGCTTACTGAATGATCCACACTTCAAAGAACAAATTAAGAAAGAGATTCACTTCTATATGGAAACGAATGATAATGGTGAGGTGTCTCCTCCTATTCTGTGGGATACTTTAAAAGCTGTCCTGAGAGGGAAAATTATAGCAATATAAGCAATTATAAAAAAAAAGATGAGAAATAAAAAATTAGAAGAGCTGCAAAATAAGTTAGAAGAATTAGAGAAAAGGCATAAAAGAAAAACAACACAGGATATATTGGAGGAAATCATCAAAACAAGAAATGAAATAAATGATTTGACTACATATGAAATTTTTTTTTTTATGTTTCTTAAACAAAGGTATTACGAGGGAGGATCTAAAGCAATGAATGTTTTAGCCTGGAAACTAAAAAAGTAAATAGCAGATAATACAGTTCACAAAATTAAACATCCAGTGACAAAATTAATAAAAAATAAACTAGGAGAAGTTCAGAGTGCATTTGAAACATTTTATAAGACTCTTTATGCTAATAAGACAGAGAGTAGTATAGTTGAAATGAACAGTTTTTTAGACTCTCTCGATTTACCAGTACTGAATGAAGAACAGAATAAAACTTCGATTGAAGATATAACAGAAAAGGAACTAAGAAGAGCAATAAGGAGCTAAAAGAAGAATTAATACCAGTGATGCTTCTCACACTGAATTGGGTCTTAAAGAAGGCTCAAGTACCTTTTTAGCTGGAAAGAAGCATATTATCTCTGCTATCCCAAAGAAACAAGATAAATTAGAATGTGTGTCATATAGACCAATATCTGTTCTTAATACAGATCATAAGCTGTTTATATCTATCATGGCTAGACAATTACAAAAGTTCTTACCTAGTCTAATTCATAATGATCAAACAGGTTTTATTCGAGAGCGCCAAATACAAGATAATGTACGGCGGACACTACAATTATTACCATATTCGACAGAATAAAGTAGAAGCAATGGTAATCAGTATCGATTCAGCATTCGATTCAGTTAATTGGAACTTTCTTTATGGAGTCTTGCTAGATTTGGCTTGCATGAAATAATAATTAAGACAATACAGGCACTTTATGATAACCTACGGCAAGGATTAAAATTAATGGCTACCTATCAATAGTATTAAGCTGCAAAGAGGAACAAGGCGGGCTGTGCGTGCTCACCATTATTATTCACGTTATATCTGGAACCATTGGCTCACTATATATGGCAAAACAAAGAAGTAGAAGGTATTAATATCCATGAGAAGGAGCATAAATTATGGAGTGCCAGGACTGCCATAATGCATTAATTAAATACACCATTAAATAATTAATTAAATGTGGCAATAATTAATTAAAATTGGAATTAATTAATTAAATAAATAGTTATGACACATGTAATTAATTAATTATTGACACATTTATTAATTATTTAATGGTGTATTTAATTAATGCATTATGGCAGTCTGGCACTCCATAATAAATTAGCCTGCTATGCAGATGATATTTTAATATTTTTGGTCAACCATCAAACTCTCTACCTAAATTATGCAGTTATTTGATACTTTGGTCGACTATAGGATATAAGTTAATATGAGTAAAATACATTGCTTAAGTAACTATATTCCATCAGAAGAAATTAAAAATAAGTACCAATTAGCATTAAAAACGCAGGCCATTTTTTGATTTTGACGGTGTTAACTACTAGAAGACTAGAGGAAATATTAGTTATATTAATGGAAACAAAACAACTCCTTACATGCCTTTTGTATTTTTTTCTGTTTTTCTTCCTTTTCTATTTTTCTTTCTTTTTTTCATTTTTCTGTTTTTCTTCTTTCATTCCTTTTGTATGGATATTTTAGTTAGAAATAAGACCCAAGTAATTGGGTCTTTTTCAGTTTAAACCTTTTGCAAACATATATGAGATTCTTGACAGGTTCCAGTCACACTTTAAAGAACAGTATTATGCTGTATTCTGTCTTGTTCTCTATGAACATGTCTAAATGGAATCTTAGAAATTGAATTCAGATCTATGAAAGTGAATATAAATAAGTTTGCTTTTTGATTTTTCTATAATGGGCTCTGTGTTACAGTGGTGACTTACACTTCTACTCAGGTCTGTGCTTTCAAAGGATCAACAGCAGAAATACACTCCAATTCAGATACCTATCGACTATAAATGACATAAAGACAAGAATCCAGAAAATGTTCTGGTTTACTACAGTCAAAGATAATGAGCCTGTGGACTGAAAACAGATCCAGAGTATTCAGGTCGAGTTCAGTATCAGTGTGAAAACAATGACTGCATCTGAGAATCTAGACTGAGAGAGAGCGACTCAGCTGAGTACAAGTTCATGCTCATAACAAACGATCCAGGAGGGAATATACTGGATCACCTGGAGTCACTTTGACTGTTAAGGTAAAAATATTTCACTGGAATTCACGTTAAACATTTCCATGTGTATTTGTGCAGATGTT